AAACTCTTGAAAAACCCGAAAAAAAAGTGAAAACGAGCGAAAAAATTTTAAAAGTTTGAATTCGCGCGCTTTTACTCACCGGGCGGCCTAGAAAAAACCTCGTCCCTAAGGGCTTTCAGCGTATTTTTCGATGCGTTTTTCTCGATGAAAGAATTTTTTTTGAATTTTTTCTTTATTTTTATGTCAACCTACATGCATTTCTGCACATTTTGATGCAATAAAAAATTTCACCGTACACCACCTTTAAATATGAATACTCTTTCTTTTAAAAATCCCGCAATCCTGGTTGAATTTCGCTGCTACCTGAAATCTTGGGAACTTCAATTTTCGTAACAAGTGTATTTATTAGACTTTCAAAAAGAGGAGAAGAGTTCAGTTAAAGTGCAGTACAGTAAAAAAAAGGAATTATTCTGGAATGTCTACTCCATTGGATCCGTTTCTGGCAAGTCCTCCTCGTCCTCCGATTCATCTGAAGACTCCAAGATGACGATATTGTGCTGAACCTTGACGATGACACCCTTCTTGTCGCAAATGATTCGGCTTTTGGTGTCTTTTTGGAGTCTGAAATCGACTTTTTTGAGATTTTCATATAAAAATTTATACAAACTGTCTTTGAAGTCTTCGCTAATTTTATATTTGGAGTGTTTGAGCCATTTGAGCTTGGTGTCTGCGCCCATGTATTCGCATGTCGGCAGGTTCTCGAATAGGACACGCATGAAGCTGCAAAAATAGATTATTGGAAAATTTTTAGACCTTTTCAGGGTTTTCAGCTATTTTCAAAGTTTTTTTCAGAATTTTTTTTCAAAATTTTTTTTTTGTCCATTTTCAGTCATTCTATTTTTTCAGTCAACTCATTCCACTAGCTCTTGAACGTGTAATTGTTTTTCTTTTATTATGATGCCCAATCTTTGTTTTGCACAATAATTTTTATGTCATTTATGTCATTACGTTTCCCACGATTTCACATCGTAATAAATTATTATTATTTTTTTTGACCCATTTTAAGCTTATTTTAGTCAATTTTAAGCCTATTTTGACCCATTTTTAGCCTGTTTTGACCCATTTCAAACCGATTCTAGTCCATTTAAAGCCTATTTTTAACCAATTTAAAGCCTATTTTCGTCCATTTTAAGCTAATTTTGACCCATTTTAAGCCTATTTTTGACCCATTTTAAACCGATTTTAGTCCTTTTTTTTCAATTTTAAACGATTCACTGGGACTGGAGGCTATATGGCGAGTGCATATTCTCGTATTCCGCCGTTGGATCGTCGTATTTATCATAGAATTCATCCCAAATGTCGATTCCTTTCGCCAGATTCTTCGCACTATGATTCACATTGTTATCAATCTCCCAGTTCATTGTATCGATCACAAATTCCCACATTTTCTCGTGATCGATTCCCAAATACGGGTGACGATCGGCTTTCGGTGTTGATCGACGCTTTTTGACGGCAGGAGACGGGACAACGACAACTTCCGCGCGTTTTCTAGAAGATTCTGGGGCCTTTGGAGTCGTTGGCTCGGTTTTGATTGAGTTAGATGCCGTCGAATTGATTCCAGACCCTCCAGAAGTCGCCGGCGCCGCTTTGATCGATTGAGAAGTCGTCGGTGAGCTTTTCACGAATCTTATAGAATTTCTAGAAGTTTTTGGAGTGGTAGAAGACGTCGAATTGATTCTAGGCTCTTTAGAAGACGCCGGTGTCGCTTTAGTCTTTCCAGAAGACGTCGGGGAGCTTTTCACGATTCTTGTGGACAAGATTTTCGGAGGGGTAGAAGACGTCGAATTGATTCTAGCCTCTCCAGAAGTCGTTGAAGGCATCGGAACCGTTTCAGAAGACGTCGAGTTGATTCCAGACTCTCCAGACGACGTCGGTGTCGCTTTGATCGATTGAGAAGTCGTTTCAGTATCTCCAGAAGACGTCGGGGAGCTTTTAATGATTCTAGGAGTGCTAGAAGCCATAATAACCGTCGTTGCGTCATCTGATTCATCGGAAATTCGGGTTTCATCGCTTGGACTTTGTTTTGTAGGAGCAATAGTCTTCTCGGCGAGCGGCTCCTCAATATTTTCAGCTTCAGGATCCTTTAGTGCTCCCTCTCCCAGCTCGAGAATCATCAGCAAGTCTAGTTCTTTGTCCGGTCGATTTCTGAGCACATCAATTAAATGTTGAGCTCGATTGGCGAGCTCGTCCAACGAGTTTGACATCTGAAATTTGTTTAAAATTGGGAAAAAATAGGCGAAAATAAGAATTTTCGAACGGAAAAAAAGTAAAAACCTTTGAAAAATCGAAATTTTGAGCTTTTTCAACTTTTTAAATGCAAAAAATCCCAAGGAAATCGGTTTTCAGACAAGAAAAAACGAAATTTTTGGGTTGAAAAAAAATTTGTTTATCCCCAAAAAAGCGCATCGCTGCGAGACGCCGATTTGCTTTCCCATGCGTGCGCCTTTAAGGAGGTTACGGTAGGCGTTAAAAATTATGCGTTTTTCAGCTAGAATTCCCCTTTTTCGAAGGATTTTTCAACGGATTTTGGTGAATCACAATAAAATTTGATTGTTTTTCAAGCGTTATTCAAAAATGTTCGCTGGAAAGCGCAAGAATTTTTGTGTTGCCTCGAATTTGCTTGTTTGCGCGTATAGTCTAGTGTTTCCCTGGTACCGCGTGTTGTACGCAAACACCACAGGAGCTTTGCATTTTTGAATTTATATTTTGTCGCCTATTTTTGCTCTTTTTTGATGATTTTTTCGTCGGAAAATCGCAACAATAAGCATAAATTTTTCATTTTCAGCTAAAAGCCATCGGGGGAGGAATGAAAAAAAATTCAAATCACAGAAAACATATAATAAAATACAAATTTGTACATAATAAATAACTGCAAAAAAAATTCAAATAGCTCCATAGGTAATCAAATTATCAGAATCAAAATAAATCGGACGAACGGGCGGTACGATTTGCGAATTCCTCTGATCTCCTCCGTCAACGAACAGCTGAGAACTCTTGACCAGTCCATTATTAGCAGTTTCAATCAACGCATTTGTCATTTCGACGATTTGTTTGTTAGAGGATTGAATGTTGGGGCGGCTGAAAAGAATTCGAATTTCAAATTCTAAAAAATCGGAAAATCCCAAGAAATTCAAAAATTCAAAATTTTCCAAAAATTCGAAAAAGTTGAAAATTCCGAAAGTCCTAAAAATGTCAATTTTTCGATAAATTCTCAAAGATCCGATTTTCAAAAAATTCAGAAAGTCCAAAAATCCAATGATTGAAAAATCGGAAAATCTCGGGATTTCCTAAATTCCAAAAATTCATATTTTGAAAAAAATCGAAAAACCAAAAATTTCAGAATTTCTAAAAACTCCAAATTTCAAAATTTCCCCTTAAAATTTCCTAAAAATTCGAAAATTTTTTTAAAAATCCCTAAAAATCGGAAAATGCCAGGATTTCAAAACAGGCTAAAAATTCCAAAAATATTTCGAATTTTCGAAAATCCCAAATAATTCAATGAATTCCAAAAAAAAGTCTGAAAATTTCGAAAATTCGTAAAATTACAAAAATAAATTCTAAAATTACAAAAATCCTTACTTTTGCTGTTCCAACACTCCATGACCCATAATCCTCTGGCATATAGTCTTATTCAGTACCGAATCAAAAAGGGGTATCCCAAAGACACAATCCAACAGGGAAAAGTCATTAAAACTGCTTCCAGGACGCAGGGACCTCAGTAATTCCCCATTCCCATCCAAGGACACATCCTGCATAATATTACTCTCCGCTTTAGTCCTCCCACTGATATCCGTCCCTCCATTATTCCCAGAAACCTTGACTTCTACGTTATTATGTTTCATTAGAATCACATATCCCGCCATTCTATCCAATCCTAGCTTCTCTCGAAGCTTCCGAATCGCCGGATGGTTACAGAAAGACTCTTCTTTCTCCAATTCCTCCTGACTAAAGGGGAAGGGCACATGGATGAGTTTATCCTTATCATCACTATCCGGAGGTACTGATTGTACGAAAATCGATGAGTAGACAAGCATATCATTCAGTGCGAAGAGCGCATTTTGGGCAGTGATAATGTGGGGTTCGTGTTTTGCGCTGGACACCAGAATTCGACAATTTTTGGAGCCAATTTGGTTTTGTAGAAGACGTGGGAGGGTTAGAAGACGTGTTCCATGGGGTAGGAAGACACTTGAGGGACCAGAGGAGCACGCGGAGTAGATTGATAGGCGGAACCAGGGGGAACAGGTTTCGGGGTTCGGTGGGCCGATGAATGGGACGGAGTTGATGGGAATGGCACAGGCTTCGATGCAAAGGGGAGCCATCGCGACCAGGATTCTGGAAAAAAGGGATTTTATTGGATTCAAATGTGTATATTCACATAAAAAATTCCAAAATTAAAAAAATCCAAATTTCTCAAAAAAATCGACTTTTTTCGAATTTTCGCACAATTTCTAGACATTTTGGGCTGAAAATTGACAGAAGATTACTATAGGTTACTGTAGAAAACTTCAACATAGAAGGATTTCTACAGTAATCTACAGTAATCTTCTATCAGAGTTCAGCCCAAAAAATTCGGAAAAATCGAAAAAGAATCTCCAAAAATAGCAAGAAAAAAATCTAGAAAGGTCTGAAAGTTTGCGAAAAATCGTATTTTCAGTTTTGGGGCGGGAATTCAAAAAATCGATTTTTCCGAAGATTTTGCGAACTTTTGGAATTTTTTTCAGTTTTTTTTTTTGCTGAACCTACATCATTTTCTACACATTTTGATGTCCAAAAAATGCCAAAAAAATCCAAAAAACTTTGAAAAATTTAAAAATTTGAAATTTTTAGATTTTTTTTTAAATCGAAAAGTCTGAAAAATTTAGAAAAAGTTCTGGGAAATTCTCGGAATTCTGAAAATTTTATTTTTTCAGAATTTTCGCAGTTTTGAGAATTCGAACTTTGAATTTTTGGATTTGTTCAGAATTTTTGGAATTTCGTATTTTTTTGAAATTTTGGATTTTTCGAGAATACTGATTCTTTTTTTTGTAGTTTGTAGTCTTCCAATAAAACCAGCATTTCTATCCAAAAAATGGCTTCTAAAAACCGTCGAAAACTAGTCAAGTTACGGGCGCTTCGAAGACTACAAAGACTACAAACTACAATATTTTGATGTATTTTGAGCTATTTAAGAACTTTAAATGTTCATTCTACTCACCCATAACTCTTCGCCAGCACTCTCTGTCGACTCTTAGCATCCAACGTGTACAAACTCTCTCCTCTCACCAAGTCAGCCTCTCTCTCCTGTCTTAAACTCTTCAGCGAGTCTAGTAGAGCCGTCGCGTGCATTGAATACCGCTGAGCATCACCCTCAGCGAACTGATTCACCGATTCCAGCTGCTCCAAAAAATCCTTCATCTGCTCGTCGGCTAGTTTTCCCACCTCGAATAGTGCTACCGCGTGGCCTGAAAGAATTTTAGTGTTTAATTGAATTTTTGGGCCAATTTCAGCTCTTTCTAGGTGAAAAAATTGAATTGGAATTTATCGAATTTTCGGAATTTTTAGAATTTTAGAATTTTTAGGATTTTTCAGAATTTTTGAAATTTTTAGAATTTTAGAATTTTTAGATTTTTAAAATTTTTGAAATTTTCAGAATATCGATTTTTGAAATTTTATGAAACTTTTGTAATTTGGCTTTTCTAGTCTTCCGGACACCAAAAAGGCCAATTTTTGTATTTTTTTTTCATTTTAGGTCAAAAAGGGGCCTGGAATGGTCTAAAAAATGACAAAAAAAAGCAAAAATGGCTAGAAAACGGCTGAAAATGCCTTAAAATGGCCTAAAAACTGCCTAAAAACCAGCTAAAAGTGGCCAAAACCCGCCTGAAAACACCTAAAAATGACACGAAATTCGATTTTCTAGCTTCTGGATTACTGTTTTGCCGGCTTGGATTCGCTAGGAAGAGGGTCACTGGCGCCGAGAATCTGACCATTCACACCTCTTGGACATCCAATTCTACAGTAACCACTCCACAATCGCCAGTGTCGCCGATGTCGTGAGTACGCTTAAAATGGGTCAAAAATAGGCTTAAAATGTATCAGCACCGGCCTAAAATGGGTTAACAAAGACTGAAAATGGACTAAAATAGGCGTAGAATGGGTCAAAATGACTAAAAACGGGTCAAAAATGACTGAAAATGGACAAAATC